GGGAGGATAGCACAGGGAACCCCAAAACTAGGGTCACCCCCCATTAAAGGGGTGCCTTCATCCTGTGGTGCACCCCAAAATCGGGGTGACCCCCCCTTGCATGGGCACTGCAGCTTCATGTCATACTCCCACCTAAGGTGACACCTCTTGCTGGGGTGCACCCCAAAACTAGGGTGACCTCCCCATTAAAGGGGTGCCCTGACTCTGTGGTGCACCCCAAAATCAGGGTGACCCCCCCCTTGTATGGGCACCGCATCTTCATGCCATACTCCCACCTTTCACTGGGGTGCACCCCAAAACTAGGGTGACCCCCACCATTAAATGACCCCCCCGACACTGTGGTGCACCCCAAAACTAGGGTGATTCCCCCTCTTAAAGGGGTGCCTTCACCCTGTGGTGCATTGCAAAATCAGGCTGGCCCCCCCCTTCGCATGGTCACCCCAACCTCGTGCCATACCCCCACCCAAGGTGACACCTCTCACTGGGGTGGACCCCAAAACTAGGGTGACCCTCTCATTAAAGGGGTGCCTTCACCCTGTGGTGCACCACAAAATCGGGGTGACCTCCCCCTTGCATGGGCGCCACAGCTTCATGCCATACTCCCACCTCTCACTGGGGTGGACCCCAAAACTAGGGTGACCCCCACCATTAAATGACCCCCCTGACACTGTGGTGCACCCCAAAATCAGGGTGACCCCCGCCCTTGCATGAGCGCCGCAGCTTATGTCATACTCCCACCTCTCACTGGGGTGCACCCCAGAACTAGGGTGACCCCCCCTCTTAAAGGGGTGCCCTGACTCTTTGGTGCACCCCAAAACTAGACTGTCCCCCCCATTAAAAGGGTGCCCTGACTCTGTGGTGGACCCCAAAATCAGTGTGACCCCCCCCTCGCATGGGTGCCCCAACCTCGTGCCATACTCCCACCCAAGGTGACACCTCTCGCTGGGGTGGACCCCAAAACCAGGGTGACCCCCCCATTAAAGGGGTGCCCTGACTCTGTGGTGCATCCCAAAACTGGGGTGTACCTCCCTTAAATGGGTGCTCTGGTCTTGTGGTGCACCCCAAAATCAGGGTGACGGCCTCTTGCATGGGCACCCCAACCTCGTGCCATACCCCCACCCAAGATGACATCTCTAGCTGGGGTGCACCCCAAAATTAGGGTGACCCCGCCCGTTAAAGGGGTGCCCTGACCCTGTGCTGCACCCCAAAATCAGGATCAGCCCCCTCCCCCCAGGGGTGCCCTGACCCTGTGTGGCACCCCAAAACTAGGGTGACCCCCTCAATAAAGAGGTGCCCAGCCTTGTGCTGCACCCCAAAATCAGGGTGACCCCCCCATTAAAGGGGTGCCCTGACCCTGTGTGGTACCCCGAAATCAGGGCGATCCTCCCCTTTTTAGGGGTGCCCTGACCCTGTGGAGCACCCCAAAACTAGGGTGACCTCCCACTAAAGGGGTTCCCAGCCTTGTGATGCACCCCAAAATCAGGGTAACCCCCCCCTTTTCAGGAGTGCCCTGACCCTGTGTGGCACCCCAAAACTAGGTGTCCCCACTATTAAAGGGGTGCCCTCACCCTGCGCTGCACCCCAAAATCAGGGTGTGTGTCCCCTCCTTGCATGGGTGCCCTCAACCTGTGCTGTACCCCAAAATCAGGGTGACCCCCCCCTAAATTAAAGGGGTGCCCTCACCCTGCGGTGCACCCCAAAATCAGGGTGCCCCCCCCTTTGCATGGGTCCCCCAC